ATGGCACCTAACAACAACAATGGAATCTAGTATAGTACAATAGATTAATGTTACCCCATTATTCTCCTTTTCAGGTCCTGTTTTAGATTCTCCAAGGTAAAATAAACTCAAAGGACCATTTAAAACCCTGCTGCCATTGAATCTGCTTTCTGTTGACCCATGTGTGCAGAGAAGAGTTGTTCCAAAGTATTTTCAAAGCTGTGACCTTTCAGATGCAGCTTACCAGGACTTTCTTCCAAGGTGCCACTGGGTGGGTACAAACTGCCAACATTTTGGTTAGTGATCAAGTGCTTAACTTATGTCACCACCAAGGGACTCCAAAGACTGGTTCTTACTGCTGGTGAGTTGATTCTGTGTCATGGTAACCTTCTAGGATGGAGTCCTGTGGAGAACTGCTTCATAGAGTTTACAAGACTGTAAATCTTTACGGGAACCGATGGCCTCATCTTTCTCCTGTGGAGCAACTGGTGGATTTGAACTGCTGACCCAATGCTTAGCCCACTGCACCACCAGAGCTCCTTAAAACACTAAATTAAAAAAAACACACAAAACAACGACACTAAATCAAAAGCCAAACCAGTTGCCAAGAAGTTGACTTTAGAGTCGTAGTGATCCTATGTGTATTAGAGTAGAACAGTGCTCCATAGCTGACTTTTTAGAAATAGATCACCAGGTCTTTTTTCTGAGGCATCGTGGAGAGAATTTGAACTTTCAGCCTTTCAGTTAGCAACTGAGTGCATTATCTGTTTGCACCATCCAGGGCTCATTAGGAGGAAAACCCAGTAACAGTGGGAACTGAGTTAAGAACTGAAAGACTGCCTGAAGTTGGCAATCTTAGGGATTGGTACTTGTGATGTAGTGAATTCTTGAATGACTCTTCTACCTGTGGTCTTTGCCCCCTGCTTGTTTTGGGTAAGAGAAGGTGGGGAAGATGCTGATGTATTGTATGATTCACTTGTCAGTGATTGTTGATGGATTATGACTGTGAACACTTGGAAATCTAATCAGAGTTTGGTCAATGTCACCATGGCGGTGGTGGTGATGTGCTGTCGAATCAGTTCCGATGCATAGCGACCCTGTATAGGGTTTCCGAGGCTGTAAATCTTTATGGGAGCAGAAAGCCTCATCTTTCTCCTGTGGAGCAGCTGGTAAATTCGAATTGCTGACCTTTCAGTTTTTTCAGCTCGTAATCCACTACACTATCAGAGATCCTAATGTTACTACATTGCTGGATTTAAACTGAGTCATCTCAGAAATGGAATTGTGGGGTGGAGCTCACTACCATTAAGAAAGAGCCAGGAGTGGAATGCTTCCTTTGGCTCTTGAGATCCCTGTGCTTTGAACAACTTTAATTCAGGGACTGAAAGATGTGACACCAGGACTGGCCGAGGAGCAGCAGCAACAGAACCAAGAGCCAGAGCACAAAAGCGCAAGACAGAGTAGTAGCCTTCCGTGGGGTCAGTTCTGACTCATAGCAACCCTGTAAAGAGTTTCTAAGGCTGTAAATCTTTACCGGAGCAGAACGCCTCATCTTTCTCCTGTGGAATGGCTGGTAGTTTCGAACTGCTGA